ATCACTGACCAAGTTCACATCACTGACCAGGTTCACATCTAATTGAGGGTTGCAAGCTGTGCTGGAAACTCCACACTTCTGAGTATTTGAGCCATGCTGGGGTTTATTGTGTCATGCTGATTTCTGTAGATGTCAAACAAGGCTTATGTGAGGATTCATCGCTCTCATAAGCAAACACTTGTCAGGCTTGCATGACACGATAAGCCAGGGTGACTGCCTGCTGCAACTTGAACACTCAAGCTACAGTAACCATGCAAACCAGTCCATTACTTCAGACACAATCTACATTCTGGACAATTTCTACTTTGGGAGTGCAGCTTCTCTCAAATATGCTATTACCAATTAACTAAATGATTCCTGAGTTCTGCAACAAGAACGTGAGTTTATTTTCAAAATAAGAAAAGTGTGTTCCAAATAAACTTCTCTTGACTTTTAATAATCACAGTAAATCTTCAGAAGGGAACAGGATTTGCTAGTATTTAGATAGGCTTTCTTGAAAAGCTTTACTAGGGTTTGGATTGTTGGATTATTTATAAGCAGACCAGAAACTGACCAGAAACTGATTAGTCCAGTAAGATGTGCATATATCTGCCTTCTTAGCAGCTTATATTGGAGGGTTCGTCTGTTCCTGTGTATAGGCAGGTTGCTTACCTGCAACTGTTGTTCTTTGAGTGGTCATCTGTGCACTCACACAGTGCAAGGCCAGGATTGGAGAGAAACTTCCATAGATCACCCCCTTCCGTGTCTTAGAATAAGAAGGGGGACTCCTCCCACTGGCTCAGTTGCCTTGGAGACCGCATCAACTCCAGGCATCTGAAGGCAGAAGTACTGGTACCCTCTGTACCCCAAGCCCCATGCAGTGGTGGGGGGAGAGGTGTGGCAGTCTGGTGGCAGCCAGCTGGGCGGAGGACGAGTTGTGTGAATGCATGAATGACCACTCAAAGAATGAGAGTTACAGGTAAGCAGCCTGCTTTCGTCATCACTGTCTCTGTGCAATACCCATGCAGGCGATTAGCAAGTTCATCCTTTGTGGATTGTGGGACTTTCATCATCACAGGACAGCTGAGAGGACTGCCCAGCCAAAGGCACATTCCTGTCTCATGTGGATGTCAAGCCTGTTGTGCTGGATGAAGGTTGACAGTGTGGACCACGTAGCAGCTTTGCTGCGGAGAGCTGGGAGAGCAGTAGAGGTATGGATGTGAAAGGTGCGTGAGGGCATGCATGAAGATCGAGTCCTGCCATCTCGTATTCAGGGAGATGGTGTTGGAGACCCACTTGGAGTCTCTGAGACAAGATGGGGCCCCCTTTGCCCTGGCTGCCGAAGCAGACGAAGAGGCAGTTTGCATGCTGGAGCTGTTTTGTGCCGACTTGTAGAAAGCAAGGACCCCAAGGACATTTGGCAGGTGTAGAGAGCCTTGATGGGGGTTCAGGAAGAAAGCTGGGAGGAGTCTGGATTGATGTGGAAGGAGGAAGTGACTTTGGGTCTAAATTGAGGGCCTGGTTGGAGGACTGCCTTGACTTTATGGAAGCATGTGAACGCGATGAGAAACAGTCTTACATGTCAGGAGGAGCAGGTCAGTGTTGTCATGGGCACAAAGGGCCATTTGGTGAGGGCCTGCAGGATTGTGTGCATGGGTGAACCAGTGGAGCAATGTTCTGGAGGGCACAGAAGAACCTCTGTGCTATGGGGTGTGTGAAAACCGAGGACCCTTGAAGTGAAAGTATGAAACAGTGGCCAAGTGGATGCTGGGGAAGGAGGGAGCGAGGCCCTGACTTAAGCGTGTCTGGAGGTAAGGAGGATTGTGCTTGATGGAAGTGTGGGAGGGGACCAGGGAGGGGACCTGGCATGGCATGTGGATATACTCCATTTGACCAGGTAGGACTTATGGATGGAGGGTTTATAGGCAGCCTGCAGGATGGAGGCAACTGCAGGGGGAAGGGATGGCCAGGGGTCCATCACCTGTGAATCCTCCAGGTTGTCTGGTTCAGGGTCTTGACATTAGGGTGACAGTCAAGTGTGCTGCATCAAACAGATTCCTGTTTGTCAGAAGTCTACAGAGTCTGAAGAGGCAGCTTTCTCATCAGAATCCGGTAAGACCGCTGTGAAAAGCATTCAAGAGTCTAAAGAAGAAAGCGGAGTAGTAGAGGAGATATTAGTGACTCGGGAGAGTCAGAACCTCAAAATGCCAAGTGTGATAAAAGTGCGAGAGAGAAGTTGATAGAAACCTAAGTACAGGAGAGAAAGGAGGATCTGTGTGTGAGGATTGTGAAGGGAGTGAGATGCCTCAATTAGAAGTTATTATATGTTTTATTTACGAAGGAAATAAATTACTGAACATCTTGAAACCAGTACACTTTTTGTACAAATAAAGGTTTTTTTTGCTTATTGTTAACTCAGGGTCTTCAGCTGTTTGACTATCAGCATCTCATCCTCAGGACCACATAGTCTGAGGAAGGAGCTTTCCAGCTTGGGCACAAAGAGTATGGGAGGTTAATTAATTGGATTGGGATTAAAATCCCTGGTGGCAGTGTTACCTACTAAGAGAAAGAGAGGGATATTTAAGAAGTTGAATAACAATCCATATCCCAATAAGTAACAGGAGTGTACTCATGACAAGTATGGTTTGTAAGTGCAGCATTGTAGTCAAGTATGTAAGTAAGTGCTATTTTATATTATATTGTTTCATAATACCACTACAGGTATCTGCTCAGTTACTCATCTTTTAGACTTGGCTTTCCTCATTAGACTTCCCTTCCAGTTCATTTGATTATAAATAAATAAATAATAAACAAACAAAGGTTCATTTCTCTTTAACTATATGGCTAATTCCATTTCTAAACTTAGCCATCTTATTTTAATTTCCAGGGTCCTTCCAGGGGAATGCCTGTGTCCCCTCTTCACTGTCTCATTTGGTAGCGCAGAGTTAGTGATCTTTGGACTTCTTATCTAAGAACATAAATGTCTCATCTGAGCTCAGTGAAGTATCAAAAGTTATTCCAAATTTGGAATGCAGTTTTGGTTTTTGTGTGAATAAAATGTGGCCCAATCCTATGGAGGTTTCCTCAGAAGCAAGTCATCAACAAGTCAAGTTAATCTAAAGACAAAGTAAGGATAGGTTTTAACGCATTTGGTAGGAAATTTTGATAGTAGATACAGTAAGAGTTCCCAAGGGAATTTAGTTATTTTTCTTAAATTATTGTATGTATTTGTGGATGTCTGTATATAGTAAGGTGAATGAAAGGTGTCATAATGTATCATTTAATGTAAATCTGAGGCTCATGATATTACTAAGGTTAAGAGAAATAGGATTGTTTCACTGATGCTGTTCTCAAGTTATGATTTTTAAGTTATCCTGTTATGCAGACTGTTTTGTTGTTGTTGTTAACATGGCTCTTCATTTTTGCAACGAGTTTACAGTTCTCTCATTATTGATTTGCTATCCAATTCCAGATTGTATATCGATGTTGCTTTTATAGTTTCCCTAAGGAAAAATAATAAAAACACACTTGGTTAATAAGGGAGCTCTCCTCCCCTGTGGTGTTCTCTCCTTTCATAGAATTGCTGTTAAGAGATTAATCAGTTGGGAGCAGAATTTGAAGAATGAATTACATTTTACTGACATTTTTAAAATGATTTTTGGCTGCACAGCAAATCCCTCATATCAATTTAGTTGCTAGAATAGTCTTGCAAGAAGAGTAAAATAACTGCTTCAATTAAACTAGCATTTCTCAAAAAGAAAAGCATACAAATTTTAATTCTCCTTAACTGAGCACAGTAAACCACTGTATATTTTTTGGCGGGAAACAGCAAAAAGACAGGAGTGTTTAGAAAACTCTTGTACCTTTCCCTTATAATGGCATAAAATCCATTCAGCTACCTGGGACTAAATTAGACCCAACAATCACTTCTGTTAAAATAACTACAGCAGCTTTGGGAAAGGCAGGAGCTGCATACAGCAAAGACAAGAAGGCATAGGATGAAGGAAGGTTCTCACATGGAAAAGAGGACAGGAGTGGGAGCACACAGGAGTGGGATGGGCTGATGGAAATCAGGGCTGGGAAATAAAGGTGGCATAAACATATTTTAAAGTAAGTAAATGCAAGAGAAATGCAAGGAACAGGGATTACTCCAGAGAGATTGTGGGAGCACCATGGCAAACAAATATGACTAAAATGGGGTAGGGGAACATATAGCCAGCAGGGAGAAAATCAAGTAAAATGAGGCCAGATGGACTGCACTTTTCTTCTCTAACACAGGCCTTGTTATTAGCTCATCAGCAGATGCAACTATTATACTTGAAAATTCTAGATTGGCTTTGATTTCCCTTTTGCAACTTCTGCTCTGCTTTGTCCTACCTAACTTAGCAAATACATGCATTATTTAAAAAAAGAAGATGAAGAAGAGCCTCCTTTGCAATATAGGTTTTTTATTGAAGCAGTAGTCACATGACCTTGCATCTAGCCTTTTAGGATAGTAACAGAATAGATTTGAGCAGTCATCCAGCCTGAAAAAGAAATGTCCTTTTGTACAAACAGACACTACATTGAACACACACAATATCCAGGACTGAAACCCAACTCAGAGATAGACGTGTGCCAATTTATTGGAGGAATAGCCCCACAAGACATGTTTATGATAAGCTTTTCACACCATCACTAAATATCTTTACTTAGGGGCTCAAATAAGGAAGCACCTGATAGAAAATTCCAGCATATCCTGCAGCTGCAGTAAAGGGCATTGACTATGATTACTGTAAAAGGGTTCCTTCTTTTCTCCATCAAATCAAATGTTTTGGTGGAAGACAGAAGTTGTTACCTCTTGCAAAATAGCACAGATTAATATAACTCATTAAAGAAAACTTGCTAATTCTTCATGTTATTCAAGCCAACTTTTTTGGAGTGGGGCAGGGGACAGTTCTGGAAAAAAATGAACAGGAGCAGAAGAGTTTAGAGAAGACGGGACAGAATGGTTTTTGAAATAAAAAACACACACTTTGTAATTTTAAATTCCATGTCCAGGCTAACCTACTTTTTATTTAATGCAAATTACAGTACCAGTTAACTATTTCCGAACCAAGTCACACAGAACAAAATGTATTTACAAAGGAGCAGAAGGGAGGAGGTAAAATAATAAAACATTAAGCATACTTTCCACAAAAAGTTTATATTTAAAATGAAAAAGTAATCAGTCACAGAGGCATTCAAGTAGTAATAATGTTATACATGTTTTGCTTCTTCTTTGAATCAAGACAGCTTTGCATGTGTATGCAATATTTTGTATACAACCCACAGTCCATTATATATATATTTTAGATTTCTGCTTTTAAGATGGAAGTGATCACGCTAAGTTTGTGCACAAGCCCAAGTGATCTATTAGCAACGTAGTAACAAACGCAAATTTTACAGGCAAGCATATTATTTATATATATAAATTGTTATTTATATATATAAATTGTTCTTCCAGAAAACCAAGAACAAACAACACAAGGAAGGAAGGTAAGTATCTGAAGCTAATCCTTTACGTACTAGTCTTTAATTTTGTTTTGTTTTTTTAGTTTTGCTTTCATTGTCTCGTTGCAGAATGAAGCAAGAAATTAGCTCCTGTAGAAACAGTGGGAATTCTAAGGCTCTCTGATGCATGTATTTGAAAAATGTAGATCCTGGAGTAGATACTAAGCTGTGCTTTTGACCTCTAGTTGCTGAGATTTGTAATGGAGAAAGGGTTATTGGTAATGGTTCTTGAGAAGCATTACTAATCTGGGAACATTTCAAATTAACACTAATTACAAATATCCACCATTACTCGGGATATTAAAGGAAGGATGACTTTAAAACATTCTATGTTGAAAAAGCCACATTTTTCTTTTATTTAAATGAACTTACTTCAAAATTAAGATAACCAGCATGTTGACTGACCTTCAGTCAGGGACACAATAATATCATTTAATGCCATCTCAGGTACATGCAGAGTTGCAACACAGACGAAGGAGAGATGGAGAGAGCACAGGGTACTACACTGAAAAACAAGCCACAAAAATAAAATGCTGAGTGGACTGTCAGAAACAAAATGCCATCACTGACCTTCGTGTCACCAGAAAAAATGCAGCCTCTGCCTTACTGGAATGAACACAAGATGCCTACAAAAAGATTTAAAAAACAAAACAGCAACCTTTGGTTTGATAAAAATTTCAGCATTTTGCCATTGAAGAGAATCTCACGTGGAAGGTAACAAGGTTGAACATACAAGTGAATGAAGTTTTAAAAGCAAGGCCTTTAGCTGGGCACAAGAATTTAAGGTCAACTTTTAAATGATTTTATAAGGAAGTAAAACTTGAGCTTGGGTGGGACAGGGAAGGCAGGTGATAATTTACAACTACAGGGTCTTAATATCTCAAATTAATATTTGGCCAAAAAAGCTTGCAAATTTTAAGATCTGTAACATACAGTGTGCGTGAGGAGGAGGGATCCTACTTATTCTTCCTCCTCTCCATTACTGCTTCTTTACAATGCTGAATTCTTCCTCCGGAGAATAAAAAGGTCCTAGAAACTGCTCCTCCCAAGACCTCTTGACAATGTGCTTGGAAAAGATGAACCAAATGTAAACCTGCCACTTAAGATGCCACGATGGCAAACATAAAATGAAACCGGTCACTGGAATTGTGAAGAACTTTTAAACATGTACAAGAAAGTCATGATTTGAAATGCAAAGTTATGGATGCATTTTCTATTGACCATTAAATCTCTGAAAGAAGGGGAGCAAAGGTATTTCCATTTGTGAGATATCTGTTACAAAAAAGAATAAAATTAAATTAAAAAATCATGGAAGCAAAGGCACTCCAAACTATATAGATATACTATACATCGCTAGAGTTATTGTTACAATAATACAGGCCGGTTATCTACTGTACAGAGTTAGAACTATATGGCTTTAAAAAGCTCGTCTACATTTTGTCTGATTATTAAAACAAAATAACTGCCCTGAATGGTAACTTTTTGCTCATTAACAGCAGTTTCTGTGTCCACATATTTATATACAAAGCAATAAAACTCAAATTTTTAAGAACTAATGTACAAACTTGAATTTGGTGAGGAGCTTTTGTCAGTTTATTTACAAAAATGGTACTGAAACACCTGGATCTACATTTGTATAAAATTTTGTTTGCAATCCCACCATGATCCTTGAATAAAACCATCAGGATCCCCTTTTTTCTAAACATACACACGTTTAAAAAAGAATTAAAGCTTTAAATCCTTCTCCCCTGCTAGGTTTAAACTAACAAAAAGTGATGCAAGCCCACAGCCCTCTCTTCTCTGTGCGATATCAGCATGACTGCAACAGCGGCTCATCGCCAGGGTCGTTCAAGGGCCTCCTTTGCGATGGTTGTGATGCCACCTGCTCAGCATGGAGACACGCAAAGGCTCTTTCCATGCACTCAGATCCCAGGTCAGGCCCCTCCTTCATTACAGGTCACTTGCTAGCAACCTGGTGTATTTGGAAGTAAAAAAAAAATGGTTTTCATACTCATGGTTCTTTAACCTATTTTAATACCAAAGTATGTGAATGCTCTTTCTAGCCATCTAGACTTTTAGGCAGGCAATCCCCCACCTCCACAAGCACATTTTATTAGACAGAACTTTAATAGTGCTCACTTGCCTCCTCTTAAAACCTTCACCCTCAAGGAGGCAAGCGCAAGAGCCTGGGAAATTTTCTATGTTCAGCTGCCTTCCAGGGCAGGATTTGCCTACTGCTGGCTCTTGTGGGGCCAAACAGGTTCCAAAGACTGACCAACAAAATGAGCTCCCACCAGCACCATGATGACTCGGCTTGGTGTGGATGGAAGGCTAGGTGGGCATCCCTCTGAAGCCACTCACAACAGCTTGTTACAGCAGCTACCACTGCCCCAGCCGCCCTTCTCATAACCTTCCCAGAACCTTCCACGGAGTATTGCTTTCGCTTCAAAAACAGAGAGACTTTTTGCCACTACAAAATAATCCAGAACACAGACATTAGAAACAGGCATTTCTACTTCAGTCAGACCTACCACAGAGCTAAACAAACAAAAATAAAAATGCAGCACTGTATCTATGTATATATTTATAATATATATATATATTTATATTCATATGTATATGTGTATATACACACACAGAGAGCTTTCTGTAAGTCAGCAGGAGCAAATAAATTGTTATGTCTACGATTCTTACGATTGCTACAACAGCAATTGCTAAAGATCAATAAATAAACGTTAGAAAAGAAGGCGGGCACAAATTCTAGATTTTGATTTAAAACTACTTATAAAATAATGTGCCAATCTGAAAGCTTTAATTGTAACAAAAATATTGTGTTGATTCACATTATAACACCCGGAACTCTTTTCCTGTCTGCTTCTTCATGAAAGCTGGCTAGTTTGCAGTGAACAAACATGAGGTGGAAGGGTGCAGAAAGGGATTTATTTTCTGTCCCTGGAAAGGTAGTACACCTCTATCTTTCTGTCAAGGAATGGAACTGACTGGCCGTGGTCTTTTGTGCTTTATAGATCTTTCAACGTTCAACTCCACCAGGTTATGGGTAGGTGAATGAGAGTAAGTCATTCAATCCAACAGTTTGTGTGTGTATATGTACCATACATATGTGCAAAATTCTTCAATGCTAGCATGGAATTTAGGATTAAGATCTGGCTCCTATTGTTCCAAGCTTCATGCACACAATAATTCCTCCCTCCCCACACTTCTATTTGGCAATTCAACATACTTTTGCACCTCCCCTGGTCTTTCCTCCTGACTCCAATTAAGTTCTCCAGAATATGATATTCTAGGTGAGCAACTCCTGCTAAGCTCCTGACCAAATTCAAGTTGTGCACTACACCAAAAGTTGAAACTTTACTTAACAATACGAGGCTTAAAAAAAAGGAGCTTCAGAAGAATGAGGGTTTTGTTTTTGTTGTGGGAGGGCATGAGACAAGATTCTTGATTCTGAAGTAACAACAGCAATTGTTTGACATTAGCAGATTGTCATGGGAAGAGACATGGGTGTGTTCCTTTCTCCACTTGCCCTGTTCCCATCCCACCTGTTCCCCTGCCCCAAAGAGCCTGCAGAGTGAGCATACAATGAAACTGGTTTGTATTTATATTTTACAAGGTTAAATAAGAACAACAATTAAAAAATTGAACACTATAATGAATAGGGTTTTTCCTCCCCCTTTTTACATTTTCTTTCCAAGTGTGACCAGTATTGCCGAGCATGACTCAAAAGCACTGGCGATTGTTCCTGTACGGGCTGCTGCTTGTGACCAATTCAGGTGGAGTTGGAGGCTGATGCGGAAGCTACGTTATTGGTCTGAACTCGATCTCCTGCATTAGCATCTGCAAACATCAAAAAGAAAAAGAAAAAGAAGACAAGGGTTATGTACTGACAACCTGCATTTATGTTCTCAGGCTCCTCTTCTAGACCCAGAAGGGCAAGGAGAGTCTGGGAAGAGCCTCAATGCCAGTTAGAAAGGGTGGAGCACTAACAGAGAAGCCTTTTAGGCATCAGCAAGTGTGTGTAGCTCAGATTATTTTTTTCCATCTACAGCTGGAATAGCCGAGTACACGAGTTTCACACATCAAACTGTGCTTGCTTACAGGATAATGTAGCAAACGCAGCAACAGCCACCTCTGCCCTTTCTTTCATGAGCATTTGTGAATTCTTTCTGAGGTACAAAGAAGGCCCAGAGAGTAGGAAAAATGAGAAGAGGCAGCCCACCTGTACCTGGACCCTTTCCTCTTATGTGCATTTGTGGAACAAAACTACATTTGTCTTGCATTTAGAAACACAGAAACAGAGCAAGTCAGAAGGGGTTTCCCGGGCCATCTAGTCTGACCCCCTGCTCCAGCCGGCTCTGCTTATGACATGCCTCATGACATTAGAGGATAGTTGTGCAGAGTGGAGGTGTGTTCATTTTCAGAAGGCTCATACGGAGTTGCTTCTCACATAGTAGTAACAAACTGAGCAGGAAAGTGTTTGCTCAGCATGTACAGAACAGGAATGGGCAAGGTATAGCCATATGGTGAAGGATGATCATTTGGCTGTCCACCCATTTCTCTGCTGCAAAAAAGTTTTCCGTCTTGGAGCTGTACAAGTGCAGTGCTTATATGTGGGGCTCTGCAGGGGTCATGCAGAAGAGCAAGGCTGCACAGTTCAGATGGTGGGGATGGCAACAGTTCCAACAAAAATCACTGGTAGAATGCTGCAGTACCGAACAGTAGTAATGCTAGTAATGTTTGTTGGGATTGGCACTGGAAACGAAATTAGAAGTCTCAGGAACTCTCTTCACAGAGAAGACTTCTGTCTTCAGCAACATATAGATTGGACTTAGAATCTGAGCAGGAGAAGTCTTCCCAGCTTCCCTTTCCTCATCCAATGCCCTCTGGTTCTGAGTAAAACCAGCAAAACCAGTAAAAACAGCAGTGACTTTCCTTCCTCTGGGAAAAAGGAAGTAAAGGAGGAAGAGAAGATCTAAGGATACTTGGAAAGAAGTAGAAACAATGGTATGAAAGTACATGGTTTATTGAACACATACCATACAGCATTGAAATATGGACACAAATTGACAATAAGCAGGCCAAAGAAAAGCTTACGCATGCCTCTTAGTCACAGGGGTACCGATGTGACAAGCTGTGCTCCTGGAATTCTGGCTCCTTGGAGACCTTGCACACTCCTGATTCAGATGGAAAGCCAAAGAACCACACCTCTTGTCATGCATTTTATATGGTTCCTCTCTCGCTTGGTTTCAAACCCTGTCAGTACACACAACTGAGGCCCCTTTCCTGAGAGACAAGGGAAGGCGAGAGAAGGCCCTACTTGCCCATTAACTTCTGAAAAAAATGTATAAACGGGATTATCTCAAGGATAAGGTGAGAAATTCATAGTTCATTGTAGCTGGTGGTCTCACATCTTCATTGAGCCCCTACAGGTTTCTTGCTGTAAGTCTAACTAGCATCTGTGGTTATAGTTAACAATTGTGCTAGACACATGGTTAGGGTTCAGAGTTAACCAATCTTACTGTTGTTCATTTATTGATCTCAGTTCAGCAGCACATAAGGCCTGGAATCAAGGGCTTAGAATGCTGTCGTGTGAAATGCTTCATGGTGAGGCAATTTTTCACCAAGATTTCTAAATTGTAATTTTTGAAAAACTACCTATTTGACCAATCAGCTTCATACTGCAAAAAAGTGCTTAGAAAACAAATTTCAAAGCAAATCCCTGGGAACTACACAGTCTCTTTATTTTTTAATTTTAATCCTAGATCTTGGATTAACACTTCTCCACAATTATTTCTTCCAGTCTTTCCTTCTTTCTTTTTGCAGGACACATTTTACAAGAATAAACCTAAAACTGAATTTAGAACCCTTTACGTTAGCACTATAACCCTCTCAAAATTGCTTCACTTTTGGGTATCAAATGACTGGAAGCAATCTTCAACATATGAAAATACTTTGTGAGAGCATCACAGAACTGATGCAGAATAGACAGTACAAATTTGTAGAACATGCCTGTTTTTCAGATTTTACTGAAAAATCAGTTTCTAGAGCATCAAGGTCTATTCTATTGTACATCAATATTTTCTCAATTTAGTCCGATATTAAAACTATGTAACAATCAGTGTACTATCAGTATTGCTAGAACATTACATACTTTTCCTTTTTTACCAGAGATAGTATTTATAGTACCTTGCTGCTGTATTTTAATAAAGTATTTATTTATTTAAAACAAAAGTAAATATTTTCGATAAAGTATAGCACCTTGCAGAAGTATTCATCTGCCTTTGACTTCTGTAGATGTTCTTGTGCTACAACCTGAAACCAAAATAGATTTAACTGGCATTCCTACCACTTGATTTACTCAAGAGACTGAACGCTGTGAGGTACAAAATATTTTTATTGTGGCACAAAGCTTAAGTAACATAAACAATCTGCTACTTCCTGGTTGCGTAGGTATTCATCCAACTGAACCAATGCTTGGTACAAGCACCTCTGGCAGCCATTAAAGCTATCAGTCTTTTTGGATAGGTTTCTATCAGCATTGCAAATCTGGATCCTGCAATCTTTGCCCATTCTCAGAGAAAATGTTCCAGGTCAGTGGGATTGTGCTCCATGATTCACCTGGCAATTAGGTTCTTCTATTTTAAACCACTGAGGTGTTACTTTGGCTGGGTGCTTGGGAGGTCTTCCTCTAGAAGTGGCTCCACCCATCTTGCTGTCAATCCTGGCCACCTTCACAGTCCCCACCAAGGAAAAGCATCGCCAACAGGACGCTGCCACCACCACCACCCTTCACTGTAAGGATGGTATTCTCAGCTGAATTGGACACTGATGGCTTTGCACATCACACAGACTTTTGCAGCAAGGCCCAAAAGCTCATTTTTGGTCTCATCAGGCCAGGGGAGCTTTTTCCACCTGTTTGCTGTTCCTCCCACATGCCGTTTTGCAACTCTAAATGGGCTTTGATATGTGCTGGTTTCAGTGAAAGCTTTCTTCTCACCATTTTTCCATAAAGCCCGGGTTTGTGGAGTGTCTTGCTGACAGTTGTCCCACGGATGGTTCCTCCCATCTCAGCTGGCAGTTCTCTCCAGCTCCTTCAGAATTACCACTGGTCCCTTGGTTGCTTCTCTACGAATGTCCTCCTTACCCAGTCACTGAGTTTTGGTGGGCAGGAACAGATGCCTTAATGGAAGATCAAGTGGCACTGGGATTGCACACAGGTGGACTTCATTCACCTACTTACAGTACCTGGCTTCTGGAGGCAGTGGCTTGTACCGGAGCTTATTTAGGCTTGTCACACCAAAAGGGACAAATGCCAGTCAAGTGCATTTCAATTCCAGGTTGCAACACAACAAAACGTGGAAAAACAAGTGAGGTGAAGGATCAACTGCTCAGACAATTTCATCAGCAACAGGGGTAATTAGAGATTTGTTTCACAGGAAAATCCTATTTGTCACCATTAAAGAAAATGTGTACACTCAAATGTAATAAAAACAAAATTAACATGGCCAACTGTCTAAAAAGGTCATCATCAATGCTTTTTCAGTGAAGATGAATTGTCTAGTGAATATTCATTTTTAAAGCTTTTCCCCCACTTTAAAAACAGCCTTATAGTAACATAAAATGGATATATAAATGTTATTAGAATAAGGCAGGAAAGCATTCAGCCAAACACCTTCCACATTTTAACCAAATGCTGAAAACAGTGGTGTCACGGTCCAATGAATTTGACCAGGAAGAGCATTCATGAGGTGGATACCGCCACAGAAAAGCTCCTCCTCCTCTGAGTTGACCCATATGCCCTGTAAGCCACCATAAGGCCTCAAATCCCAAAATAACAGAATTGCAGAGGCACTATGATGTGACTGTAATTCACATACATAGCACATACAACTACAATAATGTGATGCATTCTCTGTGTTTAACTGTTAGCAGCCTACACAAAGTAGCGTTATAACAGAACGTAACATTGGCTATTTTATGGCATCACTGTCCTTTTCATATGATCGACAATGTCATATGAGTTGTCCTAAACTGATTTCCTTTATCTTGACAACACTGGTGAACACTCTAACAATGGAATCTGTTGAAAGTATTTTTGGTAGGACAAGGGAAAAAACGGTATGTTTGATCAGGTTTCATGTTTCCACAAAAGTCTGGATTACTGACTTTATCTTTCACATTGTTATCTGTCACTTTATTCCTTGATATAATAAATTTATGTGGCTTGTGGTTAGAACTGTCAACATTCCACAAAACTTTGCAAATTTTTAATTCTTCAGAATAGGAGGTACAAAGATCAGGGGATGGGGAATTAACAAATTACAAAATTTAGGCCAGATACTGTGGTCAGTACATCTTCAGTTTAGCTAGACCCAGTCCCATGGAGTAGAGGGGGCAGAGGACTGGGATAAATGTACTTAAAAATAATAGAACAGATGATCTAAAATTTGAATGAAACAGAAAGGAATGGACCCAGAAGATGATTTTCTACAAACTGAAGAGATACTTTGCAATAAGAGTTCTATTCCCTCAAAACACTGGGTAATATTGGCAATTTGGATTCAATTGACTTTTTCACCCAGTGCATTGTTCATAGAAGGACTGTTTCTCTGCCCTTCTACTTTATGTTGCTCAAGAACATGCGCTTATCTGCTAAAGGCAAGAGGCCGTTTAGTTACAGCAAGACTTTGGATCTTAAGAAACAGAGAACAGCAATTGTTTCACTCATCCTAAAAGGTGTCATGGCTCAGTGATGGAGTACACATTTTGCATGCAGAGGCTCCGCCTCAGTCTCTAGTGCTTCCAAGGTAGGGCTGAAAGAAATGAAAGAAGCTCTG